TGATGTTATATCCTAAAATAAAGAATATTGCTCTACTTTGTATTGAGTCCTCTATTAAATTAAATGTTACGAACGTTGGATTTGTACTCTATTCATTCTCATCTTACCTTTATATATAATGATACATAAAATTTACTTTTATTTAAAAAGTAAGACTTTGTGCCATTGAGCAACAGCCCAGTTCTATTTCTCCTTAGCCAAGGTAGAACGCTACAAACATTGTCACTGCTTCAGGAGTGGCTTGACACTAGGAATACAACAAACAATTGACATTAAATCTCATTTCCAGGACATGTCTATGCATGATGACTCTTAATGCACTGACTCAAGCCTCAGCCCACTCCTTGTGAAGTTTCTCCAAATTCTTGACTTGACTTGCCTGACAATCCTCTCAAGGCTGTGGTGATCCCATTGCTTGTGCATCTTTTCTTATCACACTTTTCCTTTCAAGTTACTTTCAATAAATGTGCATTGATACAGCACACTGGCAAATTGCTAGCCTTTTTAGCAATGGACTTTTGTGGTTTACTTGCCACAAAGAAGGTGTCACTGAATGTCTACTGGACAACTGTCAAGTCAGTCTTCCCCATCTAATCCAGGTTGAATGTTTCATGGTATTTATACTGGATAACGATTTATTAAATGAAGGATTTATTGGACTTAAGGAATACACTCACAACCAAATTAGTTCTGTTAAGTTTTACTGTAAAAGAAAGAAAATTATGAAAAATATTTTTCATATTTTCTTTTACAACTTTTAAAATAAGGTGTCAATTTCCGAGTGAAAAATCATTGGATTTTCTCAGCCTGTGAAGGTCCTTTGTTGGATGCACGCATTCTCTAGATCCATGGGGAAAAATGTCAATCACCCTTCCATACTAGCCCAATGTATCTTTGTAGGGTCGGATGTAACACACTTGGGCAATCATCTCTTTTAGATTCATGATTGCCCAAAGGTAATGTAATGAACTTGACTGGAATTTGAATTTGGCTCTGATTTCTTATTCCGACCTGTTATCCATTACACCACCCACACATCCAAGTTTACAGCACCTGGTATTCCCAAGCAGTCATCCATCTAGGTATTGACCAGGCTGAGTGTTGCTTAACATTGGTGATAGAACCAGTGTTTCAATGTCACATAAGCCATATAACAAGATGCATTTAATTTTTATTATATATGAAGACCTATTGTTGGTTTTAATGAATAGGCAATTTTTGGCCTATCCCATGTGCATACACTGGTCTCCCTACTTTAAACCAGCCTTGGGTTATGTCCTATGACCTTAAGTAAATACCAAATATAGTATCTGTTTTTCTCATTTCTAAGGGTAATGATAATGTTAGCTGTTTCCTTATAAGGAAACATCTGCCATTCACTAACAAAGAAGCCAGTATTACTTCCAGTAGAAACTTAAAAAATATTTCTCTCAAAACAATTTCTCATAAAAATACTTTTACTTACTAACTTTTTCAGGAGGTACTACACTTGAACAGGTTATTTTATTTAGGAATGAAATTTCTTAAGTCTTTCTTAACACTTTTTCCAGTAATAATGGGAGTTTCCTTCCTAACTTTTTTGTTCAAAGTCATGTGGAACGTCAACATCTTGATTATGTTGTTATTTTATCTTTGAGTTCCATTTTAGTTGTTGCTGCTTTTGAAAATTCTCAAGTGATGTGGTTTCTGTTATCTGGTACTGTTCTTTGTTTGGGATCCTGTAGCACCAGTAGGTTAGTCCTCACTAAGACATACATGCTTCATTCAACCAAAGACTTTTAAAACCATGGCATAACTGGTGGATTACTCACATTTAACTGAAGTGAATACCTCTCAGCTGACGAAGCATTAATCAGACAAGACATATCAATGTGAGAAATAAACAAAGGATTTCCCGGTAAGTACAAGCCCAAAAATAAGCTAGTGTAATATGCATTACAAAACATACTATATCAGCCTATGTTTCATATGTGGTTGCATCACCACAGACTAACCAAAATAGCTCTCATAACCAATTTTCATCACCAAAATTGCCTTCAGTGGAAACATGAGCATTAAAACAGAGCTATGAATAAATGGTTGATCCAATGGGTCTTGCCTTCTAACAAAAATGGATGCCAAAGTGCATGTGCATCATTACCCCAGGAAAGCAATAGCACCAAGATGCACTATTGGAAGACATCCAGTGACTGCACAGTGATGGCTTTGTTAATGTTCTACTGGGGAATACTATGTACTATTATTCATATGGTAATGTTAATATATTGCCATTTCCTGCTAAGAAAAAATTTAGAATATATTGACCAAACAGCCAGTGCTACTTTAGATTGAATTTTATAAAATCTTTCTTGATATAATTTTTCAGGAAAATAGATTTCTCAAATCCAGTAACTTTTATAACTTTCTTTTTTTTAAAAAGTAGTGTGGAACATCATCTTGATTATGTCATGATTTCCTGTTCATGTTACATGTGATATGCATTTTAGTTGTTGCAAGTCCTCAAGTGATGTGGTTTCTTCTATTTTGTACACTTCTTTGTCATTCTATAGTGATCTCAAGCTTCGAAGAATAATTGTCTTCGCTAAGACCTACAACTTTCATTTCTCCAAGCCATTTTTTAAGCATTGACCTGGAAAAGTGGTTGTATACACCTGACAGTCTAGATATTTCTGAAGGTATATGGCACCATGCATGGCATCCATATGAAAGTCTCAATCTGACAAGACAATTTAGGAACATGACCCTAGTTTTCAGGATAATGTTTTGGTTTTGTAGCAATTTTGTAACAAAGTCATATACTAAACAACTCAACATTACTGAAGACATCTATTATCAGGAAACAAGGGTTGTATTGCTTTATTAAAAAAGTATTATGGCAAGAAAATTTGCTCACCGAAGGATAAAAAAATAAAATAAAATAAATGAAAAAAGATTTTGAAAAGAAAGTTAAATTTTTTACAAGTGCTTTAAAATCCATTTTGATGTCTTGGCTAATAAAACACTAATTTCTAGTCACAATAGGTTTTTTCCTTTTAAAAATTGAAACTTTGTTAAAATTATTATTGAAATTTATCAATGAAAACTTGTTGCTGGCATAGCATCTGATATAGTTGGTTGTGACAGGTAAAAGCAAGGGTTTGGAATGCTGATTTTCAATGCAGGAAGGCTTTTTCTTTACTTGGAAAAAAAAAAATAAAGCAACACAATATTGCCATACCTTACATGAGGCCAGCTCAATGATTGGCCAATTTCTTTCTTATAACTATTCCCATGCAACATTAACTAAACATTCAATATCAGAAATTCTCTAGAATGTGAAACTGAACATTTAAATTTCCAGATATCTAAAAATTAGAAATACATTTTCTTGTACAATATGTAAAAATTGTTTTTTTTTTTTTAACAATACTTCAGAGATTTGGGAAGAACTCAAGTTAAAGACATCATCGATTTTTTTCACTTGACAGAAAATAAATTTCAGGAGGCATTAGATTTGAATGGAGAGAAGAGAGAAGAAGAGAGAGAGAAGGAGAGAAGAGAGAAGGAGAGAAGAGAGAAGGAGAGAAGAGAGAAGGAGAGAAGAGAGAAGGAGAGAAGAGAGAAGGAGAGAAGAGAGAGAAAAAGGAGAGAAGAGAGAGAAAAAGGAAAAAGAGAAAGTGAGCAAGAAAGAGAAAAAAGATCGAGAGAGAGAGAGAGAGCAAAAAAGAGTGAGAGAGAGATTTTTCAAAATCTGTTGGGCAATAAAGAGCCAATCTCATGATAACTGCTTGCAATCACCTCTGACCTTCTGTCCTGGGTAAATGAGAGCAACTACTCTGATGCCTAGCCATGGTGAAACAAAGAAACTCGACAGTGTCAAATTTGGAGTTAAGGCAGAAGAGATGAACAACAGTCTTTTGTTTATGCTTCAAGCCAAATGTTACTGACCAAAAGTTCCTAACCACTTCCCAAAATTTGGTAGCTGACCAAATCAGGAGCAGGCAATGTGACAGAATTTCAAAGAATTCTTAACAAATTATAGCAAGGTTTATTTCTGTCTTTTGCATGCATCCACATATCTGTAACTAAAAGAAATAGCTATTTTAGTTTGAGATAATGGTTACCGAGGCTAGTCTGCTTGACCATTACTACTGAGTAGTAAGTTTGATCCTCACTAAGTGCCACATACAAAATTCAACATTAAATAACCCAACAAGGGATGGCATATTGTAAAATTAACTAATCAAGTGTACCATCATTTTTGAAAGGTTGACACATCATAAAATCAAGCAACCTAACTAAATAGGTGCTTTAACATTGGAGGGGGGGGACTAATGGCTAGCAAAGCTCAGCTAGTTGAATAATACTACCGAGTAGTTAGTCCAATCTACACCTTATATAAAATTAGACATTGAATAACCCAAGAGTTAATATCATAAAACCAACAAGTGCAAATTTATTTGAAATAAAATAAAAATATGGATTTTAAATATATAAAAGACAATGCATCATGAGACCCCCCACACACTCCCATATTATGTCAACACAAGGGAAAGAACCAGCATTGTTAAATTGTTATTACTCATAAAATTCATCTTAAACAAATCAAGGCAATAAATTATATTTTGGTGTTTCTTGTCAGTGTTCAAGACTAAGTAAAAGTCTGAATTTTTAATGCTGATTTTCAAAGGTAGACCATTTCTTCATGGAAGAGTACTACAATGCAATCTTCTAACCTAACTCATTCATTCATTCATTCATTCATTTTTTACAGATTATCAACCCTTTGCAGGTTATTTAAAGCCAAAAAATATTTTTAGATTGTAGGACTTTTTGGGGAGGTGATAATGATTTAGTGATACAATTCTTACTAATTAACCCATAGCTGAAGGAGAAAAGATGAGATTCATACTTTTCCTAAGAGTATATAAGTGAATATAACAAACTGAATTAGAATTGGAGCTCGGCTCTCTGATTAACAATTCCGAGCCATTATGCATTACATCACTTGCACATCCAAGCTTACAGCATCTGGTATTCCCAAGCGGTCACCCATCTAGGTACTGACCAGGCTCAAAGTAGCTTAACTTTGGTGATCCTACAGGAACCAGTGTAAGAATATGATATAGCTATAAGCTACCCAAATCATGCCCATATTAAACCGTGTGACAGATTAAACTAAATTAGCATAGAAGTGATAGATTATGCATTCTACTCTAACAGTTTTTTTTCTTGCACTTTTTGCCTGTGGATCTCTCTTCCGTTTACTTGCTTTGCTGATAACTACAATCTGCAAAAATTTAAATGAAACACTTCGCCATCTTCTATCTTCTTGAATCTTGTTCATCTTTTGTCCTTTCCTTAATTCCCACAATACCCTGTCTTTTTCTCTCACTTTCACTCTCTGTAACCCCACTGCATACTAGTGACATTCCCGTCTTTCTTGAGGGTGAAATGATTAAAAAATAATCAATAAAAGCATATGTGCTCATAGTGTAGCACTTATCAGAGTGGAAAGTGAGACTGGGGTGCCAAGTTCAAATTCCAGCCAAAGCTGTTGCATTCACGTTGTACTAATACCTTTGGGAAAAGGCATGAAGCCATATTTTCCTCCCTCTAGATATGTTTTAATAGCAGGGCAAACTGAGTCACACATCCCCCAGAATTTTGAAATGATAGATTATGCGTGTTTAAGAAAAAAAAAAGTATGAAGACATTTCTGAAGTGATTTCGCAATTGACAAAGACATGAGCTTCCATTTTGGTCAAGATTTACAGAAAGAGACATTCTCAAGAGCATAATCGATACAAAAATAAAAACACCCCAAAAATGCTTCTTTTACCACCAAAATCCATGCCTGGACAAACTGTAAAATTGTAAGATAAACATAGGTGTAAACACTTTATAAAGAAAGTCGATCTTTTTTCATTCCCATACAAAAGCAAATTTGAAATGGTTGAATAAGATAATCGGAAAACATTCACCACAGATTATTTCTTTTAAATTTTTTTTTGTTTTCTTTTTTGCCCAGGAATGAAATGTAGACATGAAAGCAAACCCAGTTTGGAGAATGACAGATTTGTATGTGAGTAGAATAAATAAGAAAAGAAAAACACCAAATATTTATCCATGAGAAATACAATTGCTGGAAAATTATTTCACAAAGAAAACCTTGGAGAGTAAAAAAAAATTAAAATCAAATAAAAATAAATTAAAAAAAAAAAAAGTTAATCAATATTCAGTGACTTGCAAATGAAACCAAAACATTCCTTATTTTCTTTGGCAGTGTTTTTGTATATAAATGAAGAAAAACAGAATTTACACATTTATCAGGAAGAAAATGGAAAAGAAAAACTTTTTTTCAGAAAAGAAAGAAAGAAAATGGAAAACTTTTTTCAGGTTTTACAGAAATAAAGACAGACGGGGAGTAGAAGCAATTTCACTTGTTTAAAAAAAAAAAAAAAATTCATCATTTGCTAGATTTAATTTTTCTGAATTTTTTGAACAATTTTACTTTTTTAAATTTATTCTTAACTGAAGTTCATATTTTATGACTTAAGTTATCTCTTCCACTGAGCTCAGCGTGTAAAGAAAAATTATATGAGACTGGCTGTTGAAAAGTTGCAAAATGACACGAGACTTAGTAAACTTAACTTTATTATTCAAACTCATACTGGATCCATCTTGATCCTGACATTCCCTAATGGAACTGGAAGTGCTTACAATCATCATCATAATCAACATTATTGATGTTGTTATAAAATTATCTATAGACCAACCATTTTGACTCTTGATCATTCTCTAAAACCAGAAATTCAAAGGGCTCAAAATAAGTTCATGACAACTGGTTAAATTTTACCAAGACTATGCCAGGATAATAGAAAATTTTTTAATTAAAAATCTATTATGATTGAATGGTAACATTAGCTGTTTCCTTATAAGGAAACATTTCGTATACATTGACTGTGTTGACAGTGTTGTTTTCTGTTAAAATTTATAAAATCTTTGTCTTAAAACGATTTTTCAGAAAAATAAGTCTCCAGCTCTGTTACTGTTTATTACAGTGTTGATGAGGCTTCCTTCCTAATATTTTGTTTCAAGTAGCATGGAATGTTAACATCTTCACTATGGCATTATTTTACGTTTGAGTTACTAACAAAGGAAGCAATAAGCACAATTATAATAGGATTATAATGATAACAATAATCATAAGAAATTATTAAAAAATAAGTGACCCAGGAGACCTTCGTGAGAATAAAAACAAACCCTAAATTAAAACCTTTCAATATCATTGTAAGTTTTTATTTATAAAACAATGCTTTTCTGACTTTCATAATTTATCCAGGCCCCTATTATTATTTATCATCTAAACTAACCTTTTTGTTGATTGATTTAACTAACAAACTTCTTTTCTTTATTGATACTCTAAGAAAAATATACATAGTTCCGTAAATTGTTTTTTTGGCTCTGCTTAATTTGTAGTAATGTGAAATAACAGATGGCAACATTATAAGAACTTAATTAAAAGATGCTGGGCCTAAAATGATAAAATTTGGTGAAAATTTTAATATTCTTTTTAAATGATATTTTTTGCTAGCTTACAGCTGATTTGACAATGCAGACATTTCTTTTTATACAAAGACAAAGAAAAAAAAATTCAACAGAAACCTTGCTTTGTTTTTTTATTCATTTCACCCAAAGCAAGGTGATGAAGCCACTAAGTCGCAAGGTGTTACTGAGAGTGAAATAATCTGAAAAAAAATCATTAAGGAGAGAGGACAATAAAAGAAAAGAATTCAAGGAGATAGAAGACAATGACTGATATTGCATTTAAATTATATGTGGCAGTTTTTAAAATTTAAATTAAATCTTTCATCCATATTATTTATAAAAGGTTAATGGTCAAAACTGAATCAGAGCAGGAAAAGTGGTATTAAAAAATTGCTCAATACATGCGTGAAAAAAGATAAAATAAAAGTAAAAATAAATATGGAGCTTTTAACTTTAAAAATCAGGAGGTCAGTTGAATACGCTACCTTGGTTTCAACCTTATGGTATCCTCAGGCGATTTTTATCAAATGACCTCTTAATGTTTTATTTTTAAGAAAAAAAACTAATGAATGCTATACCATTTTTTTTTTATTTTAAATAAACAAATGCACAACGTTGGGTGTAATGGAAAGAAAGGAGTCGAAGGAGGATGTGAAGAAGGTAAGAGAAAAAGAAGGGGGAAGAGAAGAAAAGCTAGGGTATTATAAAAGTATCAGTGGGGGTAATGAAATGCCCATTTTCTTTTTTCATGTGTTTGTTTATTATAAAAAAAAAAATAAATAAATAAATAAATAAATAAAATGGCATTCATTTGATAAAAATCGCCTGAGGGTACCGTAAGGTTAAAACCAAGGCAGTGGGTTCAACTAATCTCTTGATTTTTAAAATCATATATATATATATATATATATATATATATATATATATATATATATATAATAACCAAATAACTGTTTACATGTTAAGGATGAGAGTTGTTTTGTTCTACTAAATGTATGTAAGGTGGGAACATATAGACAAAATATAACTTTACACAAATTTGTAAAAGATGAGAAATTATTATTATTATTATTTACTGTAAAATTGCCCCAAAATAATAGAGGACGACATTGAGAATTAAAGAAATTGAAAGAATCATTACACAAGACTAATAACTTCCTCAGTAGGCCAAGCATAGAAATGAACACCATTAATTAAGAGAAAAAGAACACAAATTCTAAGACTACAAATTTCCACCAACTAATGTAATGTAAAAAGTCACACAATCTGGTTCAGACAAAAAAGCGAATAAGTGGCATTCTGCTCTTGTTTCCACCTACAGGATACATAGTTGTGGATAAAAACATTAGTGGTTTTAGTTACCTGATGGTTAGAAATTTAATCTATAGGTGAGGTAGTGGTGAGAAATAATTATATGTTCTGGTTCAGAGGAAGAATCACTCAATTAGAAAAATGAACTGATGTCAGATATTCTCTGGCATGGACAGTGGAATTACGAACAATATGCCTTGAATAAAATATTCAGTTTTGTAATTCTCAGTAGGTCACCAACTACAACAGACACAACAGGAGAGAGGAGAGTCAAAGTACAGATGATGGCTAAAAAGGTTCTGATGTGACACTATGATTGGGACACTCGCATAGAAAAGAGAAGAAAAAATACTAAAAATATGCCATGTTATTGGTTCTGACCTGGCATCTCGGCTTCAATCACTAATGTAGCTTCTATAAATATATTTACATGGTAATTGTTCTGATGAGTTTTCCGCTTTGGTACCTAGACTTTACAAATTTAAATGAAATATGGCTACCCTCTGCCTTTTCTATAAATATTTTCATGGTAATTGTTCTGATGAGCTTTCCGCTTTGGTACCTAGACTTTATGAAGTGAAGCACAATAATTAATTGGCGGCAAGGTTTAATCATCTTACAGTTAAAATGGTGAGATGTAACTGCACATTGTAGGCTAGCAGTTTTTACTCTCACACTTCTCACTTGTGGAACTCTCTTCTGGTCTCTTGCTTTCCAGTCAACTTATTTTCATCTTCAAAAATGTAAATGCAACGTCAATCATTATCTTAATTTCTGTCCTTTTATTGTTCTTACTCCTTAATGTTTTCTTTTTCTCATGTTCTCTTCCACTCAGTAACCCCTTGTGCCTTAGTGGCTTTATTACCTTGTTCAGGATGAAATAATAAGAGGAAGGTGGGATTTTATCTCAATCTCAAGTGTTTCTGTTTTATAGCTGGCAGATAGAAGACCTTTCTTCAAAGACCCTAAGCAGCATCTACTTTACTAGAGGAGAACAAAAGAACAAATAAAGTAAAAGAAATCATTTGCGGGTTAAGTAACAACAAAACCAGACATTGATTTCCAGCTGTTGATCTATATCAACAAGTCTCAGAGTCAACTTCTAGTCTGCCTTCTTTGGTAGGGAACCGAGTGTCCTTCAAATAGTTCCAATGCCATCCATTCATGCTACCAACCACAAATCGTGAGGTGTCGATGGGCAGAGAATTGGTAGGAACTCTTAAACCGACATGGCAGATGTTGTTCAAAGTATCACCTACCTACTCGCCTAAACTGAGCAAGTGAATCTCGGCGTTTTCTTTTCATCATTTGTTTCTTTGTGAACATGCATCAGTCCTTTCCCAGTTTTTGGTGCAACTGACACAAACAAGAATAGTGATGTAACATTGGTTAATCACTGGAAGATTGGTGGAAAGCTGGGTGAGGGTCCCATTGTTTATTGTGTAAATAAACAATGGGACACCAGTTTAAATAAATCAGTCTATGATAATTTCTCTTCTCAAAAAGAGGCACCATGAATATAACATCCAAGATGATGATACAAATTCAAGTAAATAAAAAAAAAAAAAAAACACGACAAAATTAAATAAAACATTTAATGAAAAAGACATCTCATCATTAAATTATTATGGCAAAAGAATATTTGTATCAACTTATTTTTAGGCAAATATTTAGCATTAAATGTTAGAATAAGTTCAAAAAAATTTCTCAAATATTGACTTTTCTTCTGTGTCATACCCCTTCAAGATGTTGGTTATCATGGCTCTCCATAATTTCCTGTCCTTTATAACTCTTAGTAAATTTTGTCTTTTTGCTATCTCACCTAAACCCTGTTAAGCCATTCATTTACTCTACCTAGTTCTTCTATGTGTCATACCCCTTCAGGATGTTGGTGATGATGGCTCTCCACAATTTCCTGTCCTTTGTAACTCTTAGTAAATTTTGTTTTTTGCTATCTCACCTAAACTCTGTTCTGCCATTCATTTACAGAAGCTCATTAAATAGGTTATGCAGGGTTTTCTTCTGTCCCACTTGCCATCAATATGTCCTGTGAGTATCAAATTTTTTAAGCCCTCTTTCCTCTGTCTATATTTCTGAGATGAAGTATTGTGATTATTTACACTATTTACATTGTTCGGACTGTTGTTCTCATCTTTGTTGACATATTCACAACGTTTCAGCTGTTGTATGCTCCAGCCTTCTTCAGGTGATTGGAATTTCAATCACCTGAAGAAGGCCAGCTCATACAATTGCCGAAACATCATAAATATGGCCACAAAGATGAGAACAACAGTCTTCTTTCCTCATTATGTGACCTAGAAATTTCAACTGTCTCTTTTTGATTCTAAGTGTTTTTTTTTGTTTCCATTTTCTCTTCAAGAAGCAAAAAAATATTGGCATCCAATCAAGATGACAAGAGATCAATACTAATCAAAGTTTATTTCTTCAATCAACTTTTGTTAAAGCAGATTTGACAAAAAGGTCTATTCTCAGTTCCAAATGAAGTGAAAAAACACAAGGAACATATTTACAAATTGCACAAAAAATAAAAAGAGTTCAACCAAAAGATAAATTAAATATTGTTTTGTTATAAAATAACACCCATCGGTCTGTTTGTCCAAAATAAATTCAATTTGTGCAATATTGGTTGCTTCAATTAACATGCAACAAAGACAAAAACTCATTTAAGATTTTAAACTTATCTGAATTAAGTTTCATACAAAATGCTATTAAATATTTATTCTCAAACCCTCAATGAATCAGAGACCTTAAGAACTTTAGTCTAATAGTCTTTCAACTAAATCATCTTGACCAATGACTAATTAAAACCATTTGGACTTGAAATCCATGACCTCATATTTAACCAGATATCTTAAATCTGTTACAGAAAAGAGAGAGAAGATGAAGCTAGGAAGTGTCACATTTTTATACTTGCTTGTCAGCACCCCTAATGACTTTTGGGTAAAGCTTTGTGGGGATAACCCACAAATCATTAATCTTATAGCTATTGCTCTCCAAAAACAGAATTTTTAACAAACTAGATCTACTTTTTTCTATTTTAATTTTTTTTTTTTTTTAAACGATCTTGTTAGAATAAGTTTATTCCATTGATAAAGACAAAATCTTGCAAAATGTTAAAATTTCTTAGCAGTTTGAAATTTTAAGTTTTAGTGCCAAAGACAGTGCAAAAGGTGAGAGGTCATTTTACAAAATGGCTACCATCTTTGAGGTGAGAGATCATTTTTAACAAAACCAAATAAAATATCTAATTTCTTTTTTAAATTTATAAATGACCATTTTTTTCCATCAAGTCTTCAAAGGACCAATTTTTCTATGCACAACTTCAGAGACTTCAAATAAAGTAATTCCATGAATTTAGCATTAATGAGGTTAATTTGCTTTATAAAGACTGTTTTAAGCAAAGAAATTTTTATTGTCTCAGTCTTTTAAGTGAATCTTAATCACTTTGTCAGCCTTCATATTTTAAAGTTTGAATAAAGAAAAACGATTCTTTGACAAAATAAGAGACTGAAAATCTTCAGCAATTTTATATAGAATCACACACAAAAAAAGGTGAAAACAAAATTTATGGCCCCTTCGTATTGTTATGCATCAAACAAAATGTTAATTTAGCATAGTCGTTTTCACTTCACTATTTTGAATTGATTTTCCCATCTCAGAAGCAAACAGAAATTAATCTTTCAAAAGTAAATAAGTTTTTATTTAGCAAAAAGCATTTATTTTATTTTATTTTATTTTTATTTTTTTAAATAAATGCAACACATCAGCAAAATATAAAGATATTTACTGGAATGGTTTTTGATGTTCTGAGAACAATTCCTGTAGGGTGCTGAAAAGTTCTCAGCTTAACCTACTTCTCAAATGCTGACAAAAATGATTTCTGTTTCTTTCTCAAGTCTTTTCATTCTCTTTCACTCCCAGTATCCCCCCCCCACAACTTGCGTCTTAGTGGCATTATCACCTTGGGGAATTGATTTAAAAAAAAATTATTTTGGAAAGGCTTCTCGTTTGGGCCAAGATGTTTTCAGCATCTCCTCGTATTTGCATTAGTGCCATCATCTGTGTTTATTTTATCCCTATTCTTTGAAGATTCAACCATCTAAGTCCTATTTCATATGACCCGATTTGTCACTTAAATTATTGAGATCATAGCGTAAAAAACTTAAATATATAATGATTGCATGTTGCAGTATACATTTGAGGAAAGGCAGAGAGCTCACCAGCCAAAAATATCATTACACTACACTAACAAAACCTTGGCCTATTGGTAAAAATGTCACGAAAAATAACAATGGTAAACTGAATCTCAAAATAATGACAAAGTTGAATGCAGTCAGCAGGCTCTCATTTAAAACCTGAATGTATACATATATTTTTTTTTGACAAAATGATTGAAGAGAAGCACTTTTTTTAATGAATAAACATTTGAAAAAATAACATACAACTGATACAAACACTGATTGTAATAATGGCGCAACACAATCTTCCTGTCCTCATTTTTGTCTTATTTGGATCTTGTGCAGTACTAAGTTAAGCACAGTAAATATTGGAGAACGAAGGGTCATATTGTTTGGAAAAATATAGTTGGAAAGATTGCATTGCATCTTTTATGTGCTGCGTCCCTTCAGGATATTAACAATCATGGCTCTCCACAACTTCCTGTCCTTTGTAGCTCTTAATAACTTTTGTCTTTTTGCCATCTCTTCTAGACCCTGCTCCACCATCCATTCACTCAGGTAGGTTGTGCATTGCTTTCCTCAGGCCCTCTTACCTTCAATCTGTCCTGTGAGTACCAAATTTTCCAAGCCCTCTTTCCTCATTATGCGCCCCAGTAATATCAACTGTCTCTTCCTGATGTTAAGTGTTCTTTTTGTTGCCATTGCTTCCAGAACTTCATTGTTGCTCACAGGTTTAGTCCATTCTCAGCATCTTTCTGTAGAACCACATTTCTGTTGCTTCAAGTCTCATCTCTGAGGAGATCGTTCGGCATTCACTGCCATAGAGGAGGACTAATACTACATAACAGTTGAGTAACTCCAAATGGAAATACCCTGCCTATCAATGAAAGTAAATAAATAAATAAAACAGTCTGGAAAGTCTTGGGTTTTTATCTGGGCTTGAACCCTGACCAATAGCACTGGATGGAAAATCAAAACTACAACTACAAGGCAGTCTGTATGGACATTTCATTTATTTTTAATTCAATCCTTAAGTTTTTCTATTTTAAGATGTAAATCTTAGAAATGTAAGAATTAAAGTGTTGGCAAATATAAGAAAGGATTTTGTCCTCACATTTTTTTTCTTGAGATCTTTTTCTCCTTTTCGTGTTCCTTCAGTTTTATTAAAAGACTAAACTGAATATCCCCATTGTTGTATATAAGAACCTTTTGAACTTTATTTGTCTGTGTTTCTTTTTACACCTGTTCACCATCTTCTAATTTTACTCGCTGTAAAAAGGATTGTCACATACAAAAGTGTCTTTAAATAATAACAGGCTAATTGTTTCAAATCCTGGCTATCAATGTTGAATCTCCCTTTATTCACCTTTGGAATCTCGTGCAATCTTAGGGTGGGAAGTCTAGTTGATAATGAGTAAGTCAAGTCCATTCTTTTGGAGGCCAAGCTGTGATAATCAATAGCATTTTCAGAAAGGTTTACTACCTGCCATAGCAACATTTTTCAAATCATTAGCCAATCAGTATGCACACAAGATTCGCATAAAGATGCTCGGCTCCAGCCATTACAAAGATTGATTTCTGAAAACAAAATGCAACTTGTTACCTTTGGAAAGGAAGCATTTACCTTGAAGCAAGGGGGAAAAAAATTACAAGAAATAACAAAAAACAAAACACTTCAACTTGTTTGGCTGCTTTCATTTCAATCAATAATAAATAGGTCTAGTTTTAAATTTCTGAATAATCCTTCATGTGTAACTATTTTGAAATTGAGACTCACTTGAAAAAGGGTAAAAGAATTTTGGTAATTTCTTAACTTCATAATTCATGACAGTTAAAATTAAATAAAAAAAAAAATTATTCTTCCGGTTTATTTCCTAGCCAGCAAATCTTCCTGAAAAATATGGAGAAATAATGAAATAAAAATGACAGAAAGGAACAATAGAAAAAAAAGAGAACATAGAAAGGAGAGATATATTAAGAGGAGAAAGAGAGAGTGAAAAGAGAAAAAGATGGAGAGAGAGAGAGAGAGTGAAAAGAGAAAAAGATGGAGAGAGAGAGAGAGAGTGAAAAGAGAAAAAGATGGAGAGAGAGAGAGAGAGAGTGAAAAGAGAAAAAGATGGAGAGAGAGAGAGAGAGTGAAAAGAGAAAAAGATGGAGAGAGAGAGAGTGAAAAGAGAAAAAGATGGAGAGAGAGAGAGGAAAAGAGAAAAGATGAGAGAGAGAGAGTGAAAGAGAAAAGATGGAGAGAGAGAGAGAGTGAAAAGAGAAAAAGATGGAGAGAGAGAGAGTGAAAAGAGAAAAAAGATGGAGAGAGAGAGAGTGAAAGAGAAAAAGATGGAGAGAGAGAGAGAGGAAAAGAGAAAAGATGGAGAGAGAGAGAGAGAGTGAAAAGAGAAAAAGATGGGGAGAGAGAGAGAGTGGAAAAGAGAAAAGATGGGGAGAGAGAGAGAGAGAAAAAGAGAAAAGATGGGGAGAGAGAGAGAGTGAAAAGAGAAAAGATGGGGAGAGAGAGAGAGAAAGAGAAAAAGATGGGGGAGAGAGAGAGTGAAAAGAGAAAAGATGGGGGAGAGAGAGAGTGAAAGAGAAAAAGATGGGGAGAGAGAGAGAGTGAAGAGAAAAGATGGAGAGAGAGAGAGTGAAAAGAGAAAAAGATGGAGAGAGAGAGAGAAAAGAAAAAAGATGGAGAGAGAGAGAGAGGAAAAGAGAAAAGATGGAGAGAGAGAGAGAGTGAAAAGAGAAAAAGATGGGAGAGAGAGAGAGAGTGAAAAGAGAAAAAGATGGAGAGAGAGAGAGAGTGAAAAGAGAAAAAGATGGGGAGAGAGAGAGAGTGAAAAGAGAAAAAGATGGGGAGAGAGAGAGAGTGAAAAGAGAAAAAGATGGGGAGAGAGAGAGAGTGAAAAGAGAAAAAGATGGGGAGAGAGAGAGTGAAAAGAGAAAAAGATGGGGAGAGAGAGGAAAAGAGAAAAGATGGGGGAGAGAGAGTGAAAAGAGAAAAGATGGGGAGAGAGAGTGAAAAGAGAAAAAGATGGGAGAGAGAGAGAGTGAAAAGAGAAGGAGATGGAGAGAGAGATAAAAAGAGAAGGAGATGGAGAGAGAGAGTGAAAAGAGAAGGAGATGGAGAGAGAGAGTGAAAAGAGAAGGAGATGGAGAGAGAGTGAAAGAGAAGGAGATGGAGAGAGAGATAAAAGAGAAGGAGATGGAGAGAGAGAGAGAGAGTGAAAAGAGAAAAAGGAGATGGAGAGAGAGAGAGTGAAAAGAGAAAAAAGGAGATGGAGAGAGAGAGGAAAAGAGAAAAGGAGATGGAGAGAGAGAGAGGAAAAGAGAAAAGGAGATGGAGAGAGATGAAAAGAGAAAAGGAGATGGAGATGGAGAGAGAGAGGAAAAGAGAAAAAGGAGATGGAGAGAGAGAGAAAAAGAGAAATGGAGATGGAGAGAGAGAGTGAAAAGAGAAAATGGAGATGGAGAGAGAGAGAGTGAAAAGAGAAAATGGAGATGGAGAGAGAGAGAGAGTGAAAAGAGAAAATGGAGATGGAGAGAGAGAGAGTGAAAAGAGAAAATGGAGATGGAGAGAGAGAGAGAGTGAAAAGAGAAAATGGAGATGGAGAGAGAGAGAGTGAAAAGAGAAAATGGAGATGGAAAGAGAGTGAAAAGAGAGTGAGAGAGAAAGTGTGAGTGAGAGAGAAAGTGTGAGTGAGAGAGAAAGTGTGAGTGAGAGAGAAAGTGTGAGTGAGAAAGTGAGAGAAGAGAAAAAAGCAGACAGGGGAAAAGAGAGAGAGAGAGGAGAGAGAAAAATAGAAAACAGTAGAAAAGTTTTTTTAATCTTAAGGAAGAAGGAAATGGAGAAGTCAAGTGGAATGCCTGAAATGTCCGCTGAAAAAAAAAAAAGAAATAATCCATCCCACCCAAAGAAAGCAATTCAGCCATATACCCTAAGATTGTCTGTAATTATGGAAACTTATTCGCAGAGGCATGATCTTTAGAGTTAAATGTGAACATTTCCAGTTGGACAGACAAAATGCCAATTTGCCGTTAATGCAAGATGCCTTTTAGAGACTTCTACATCTTTCAAGAAGTCCCCCTCCATTTCTAATATTTCTCTTCAACATTTAATATCTTGACTCTCAGTTTTAAAAATATTACTTCATCTACAACAATTTTTCCTCTTTCTTTATTTCACAAGTATTGTATTTTGAAATAAGTAAGAAATAAAACTAAATTTCTACCAGGATTTAGTTTGATCAAATTGAAATTATAATCCAATAACTTGGGGGATATATATATATATATATATATATATATATATATATAGTGAAAAGATTAACAAAAAAAGACTTCAAATTAAAATGAAATCAGTGAAGGTCAAACTGGTGAGTTATCATTGATGAAGTAGCAGCTTCTCTGCAGTTTTGGATCACTGCTCTTTGTGTCTGCTTCATGCACACTGCTAATGGAGTGGCCATGTTTGTATTGTAACAGCAGCAAGAAAACTGGTCTGATCAAGTTCAAAATTTGATAATGTGACCATAATAGTACCAACTATAAGCACACATGAGCAGAAGGCAGTGTGACAAACCTAAAGATATTTTATGACGAAAGTTCAGATAATATTTAACTTACCTTCATATATTTGTTAAAACAGTATCCTCATTAACAAAACAATGTTTTTCCTCACATCATTAAAAGTAATACAATATTACATCATGTATTGCTTGTTTGATGCAACATTTCGTTTTGGAGAAAATTTTTTACAGGTCTGTGACTTTAAAAATTAATGCATAACAGGAAGGGGGTTAACAGAATTTTAATCATTTTATTACCTTTTAATTTTAGGCATCAAGTCAACATAATTAACTGAAAATATTTTGTTCTTTGAAGTAAAATTTAATTTTGAATAAAACACACACGTACACACAAAAAACATCAATTCAGAATTTTTCTATGTGAAAGTAGAGATCAATGTTCAAGACAAACACAATGAAATATGAGAATTGGTTATCTTGTATTGTCCAAGCCAAGACCCAACAAATGATGGTATTTTGGAAACCATTCAAGTGAGAAACTGTCAACAACAGAAAAAGTAAAAAAAAAAAAAAAAAAAAAATTTTAACACCTGACTGGATGGCCAATTTATGAAAGAGCATAAATTAAAATGGAGAAACAATATATTTAATCTTAAAGACACCTGTATTATTTACCATTTTTATAAATAATTACTACTACAAATAACATTTACTAGTCAAATCCACCAACTTACAAACATTTTTCTTTTCCTTTCTTTCCACTTGATCAAAACGAAATAGTCTATTATTTATGAGGTATTGGTGGGGCGTAACGGTTGTACAAACTAACATAATTACATGATTTGTCTGCAAACCTGCTCTATCCCATTTGTGATTATTCAATCATAAAACTGTCCAGTCTTCACTCATCTCTGAGTTTAGTGAACGAGGCATGCTCGGTTTGTAATAGAAATATTTAGAGTACAGTGAAAAATCCTTTTTCTTTATAAGTGTTTTTTTTTTCTTTCAATGAATAAATAAGGAACACATGCAAATGTGGCAGAAGACAACTGCTCACTAAGACTTTGGCCTAAAAGCTGAGAAAAAATTAACCCTAAAGTCATTTGGTTCTCTTAAATGCAACTGGTTTTTAACTATTAAGTTAATGCAGCCATTTTGAAATACATGACAGATACAGCAAGACAACATTATTATTATTATGTACAAGATGTAAAAGAACTGATTTTAATATGAGGAGGTGAAAATATGAAGACATGGCAGAGTCATTCAAAGAATGGATAGTTTGGAAACCACATTGCTTGCAATATTCGATTGATTAAAAAAAACAAAAAAAAAACAAAAGCGTCTATCCAAATATATTTTTTCTCAAATTGTTGAAGTGTAAATCAAGAAATCTCATAGACAATGAGACACATTTTATTTGCCCAAGTAGATTCTAAAGAAGAAAGGTTATATTTTTTATTTTTTGGAAAACAGAACATAAAAGTTGTGATAGGTGAAAAGAAAAAACAAAAAAACAAAAAAGAAATGCCTGAGGCTTTGACAAAGTCACGTGCGTAGTGGAAGAGAAATTGTCAGGTGCAACAAAAACCTGCAGAGTTTATAATTCTAAAAAATTGTGAAAAATATATAAATAAAAAAAGTTGGAGATGTAGGAAAGATAAGAGAAGGAAAAGAATCAAGAGAGAGGGGACAAGAGAAGATAGAAAGGCAGAAGAGAATAGAAAAAGAGAGCGAAGAGGTAAAGGAAAGAAAGAGAGAGAGTAGTGGCAGAGAGAGAGTGAGAGAAGTGGCAGAGGAGAGAGAGAGGTGGCCAGAGAGAGAGAGAGAGAGTCTGAGAAGTGGCCAGAGAGAGTCTGAGAAGTGGCCAGAGAGAGAGAGAGAGAGAGTCTGAGAAGTGGCCAGAGAGAGAGAGAGAGAGACTGAGAAGTGGCCAGAGAGAGAGAGAGAGAGAGTCTGAGAAGTGGCCAGAGAGAGAGTCTGAGAAGTGGCCAGAGAGAGAGAGAGAATCTGAGAAGTAGCCAGAGAGAGAGAGAATCTCTGAGAAGTAGCCAGAGAGAGAGAGAATCTGAGAAGTAGCCAGAGAGAGAGAGAATCTGAGAAGTGGCCAGAGAGAGAGAGAGAGAGAGAGAGAATCTGAGAAGTGGCCAGAGAGAGAGAGAGAGAGAGAATCTGAGAAGTGGCCAGAGAGAGAGAGAGAGAGAGAAATCTGAGAAGTGGCCAGAGAGAGAGAGAGAGAATCTGAGAAGTGGCTAGAGAGAGAGAGAGAGAGAGAATCTGAGAAGTGGCCAGAGAGAGAGAGAGAGAGTCTGAGAAGTGGCCAGAGAGAGAGAGAGAGACTGAGAAGTGGCCAGAGAGAGAGAGAGAGAGAGAATCTGAGAAGTGGCCAGAGAGAGAGAGAGTCTGAGAAGTGGCCAGAGAGAGAGAGAGAGAGAGAATCTGAGAAGTGGCCAGAGAGAGAGAGAGAATCTGAGAAGTGCCAGAGAGAGAGAGAGAGAGAATCTGAGAAGTGGCCAGAGAGAGAGAGAGAGAGAGAATCTGAGAAGTGGCCAGAGAGAGAGAGAGAGAGAATCTGAGAAGTGGCCAGAGAGAGAGAGAGAGAGAGAGAGAGAATCTGAGAAGTGGCCAGAGAGAGAGAGAGAGAGAGAATCTGAGAAGTGGCAAGAGAGAGAGAGAGTCTGAGAAGTGGCCAGAGAGAGAGAGAGAGTCTGAGAAGTGGCCAGAGAGAGAGAGAGTCTGAGAAGTGGCCAGAGAGAGAGAGAGTCTGAGAAGTGGGCCAGAGAGAGAGAGAGTCTGAGAAGGGCAGGAGAGAGAGAGAGAGAGAGTCTGAAAAGTGGCCAGAGAGAGGGAGAGAGAGTTTGAGAAGTGGCCAAAGACAGAGAGAGAGTCTGAGAAGTGGCCAAAGACAGAGAGAGAGTCTGAGAAGTGGCTAAAGACAGAGAGAGAGAGAGAGTGAGTCTGAGAAGTGGCCAAAGAGAGAGAAAAAGACAGACAGGTGGCCAAAGAGAGAGGGAGAGGTGGCAGAAAAGAAAAAAAAAATGTTTTAAATGTTTCCTCCTATAGCAAAAGCAGAGCTTGCAAGCTCTAATTTTAGCAAATCTTTATTGAATACAAGCAGCTGCTATTCATTGCTTTTAGAAGCGTAGACATTGCTGTGATTTTACCAATAAATATGTGTGTGTGTGTGTGAGAGAGAGAGAGAGCCCTGATTCAGTGGAAATAAAACAAAGCAAATTAGCAAAATATTCCTATTTTTTGTTAAATTCATTTGAAACTGCTATCCAATTACTATGTCACACCAAAAGTGATCTCCCAACATGTGTACAATGATCAGAAAAAAAAGGAAATGATTCTAAAAATATCAATTGTGAAATGAGGTTTTAGAATTTGATATTTGCTCTGCAAACTTTTTTGTTATTTCATCAAATTTGAAATTTGTCAGCGTTGTTACAAAAATGTTTGTATAAAAAAAAATTGATTTTTTTGTTTAGTTTGGTTTATTTTGTTTTATAGCAAATCAACACCTCAATGGGTTATTTAATGCCAACAAGATTTTTGTGACCAGTTCGCATGAATGGAACCTGTATTCTTTGTAAGAAATCAGTTTGTAGATTGGGTTTCATTGAAGTATTTTTGTAAAGAGGGTTTTTGTCACGAGTCATATGTATTGGCAATTTTTTTTTTTTCAAGAAATATATTGATGGTTACTATAAAAAGAAGCTACCATCCTGGGTCAAGGTGGAACTGGGAACAAAAGTGATTAACAGGTGCTTCCCAAAACATCCTTAACAGAGGCCTTGCTGCCAGATATAGTTTATCGTCATACCCAGGATGCGATTAGTTTTTTGGGCGTAAAAGATGCCAATTTTAACATTTTCAAAAAGGACAAAACAGATTTCCTCAAAAATACAAAATTTAAAAGAAAACAAAAAAAGTTCCTAAATTTCAACTGCCTGACCATTTTAAGTTCAAGTTAATCTCACAAGCAAATAGAACCAAATAATAAATCTACAAAGGAGTTGCATCCTAAATTCTGTGGGGCAGGGAAACACTGAATTTTAAATTTAAGCATCATCTCACTCACCATCTACATAATTGATTCTCAAAATGGGTGGTAGAGAGAGAGAGAGACAGAGACAGAGAAACAAAACTTAGAAGAGAGAGACAGAGAAACAAAACTTAGAAGAGAGAGACAGAGAAACAAAACTTAGAAGAGAGAGAGAGAGAAACAAAACTTAGAAGAGAGAGAGAGAGAAACAAAACTTAGAAGAGAGAGAGAGAGAAACAAAACTTAGAAGAGAGAGAGAGAGAGAAACAAAACTTAGAAGAGAGAGAGAGAGAGAAACAAAACTTAGAAGAGAGAGAGAGAGAAACAAAACTTAGAAGAGAGAGAGAGAGAGAGTG